GCAATTAGATATTTTAGAGGTATCACAACAAAAAGAACCCCTGATGAAGAATATTGTTAATTTGATATTATACCAAAGTCCTTCCTTACAGACAACTATGTGCTGATGGATCAGTTAACCTAAGCTACAGACATCGATAACGCATCTGGGAGGAGGAGGAGGGAACATCGTTTAACCATTCTGTCATTGATTTTACTTTAAACTAAAGGGAAATATCAAAATTCTGGTGATCTGCACACACACACACACACCCCGAGTCCTTACATCCGAAATCCCGGAATGTCCTGTAAAAGTATACTATTATCACTTATGTGTTTGAGACTTGCTGATGACAACGAAAACAGTATCGGTCACTGCAGCATAAACACAGCTAGCTTCTGTCTACATCTTCAGAGACAGACTTGTTTTAAACAATTAAGAATTTGAAGGGAAAAATTAACCGCTAAAAATATACGTAATCTTAAATTTTCTTTCTTATAGTATTCCATATTTTACCAAACATATATTCTTGATATTAAAATTGATAAAACAAATATACAAGATAAATATCTTACCTTACTAAATTAGCCACTTCCTTTCACAACCAGTATAAATATATGTTGCCAATTTAAACCCTACAGATAGGATGAAAAATAAAACGTTTGTTTTCTTAGATCTCACTAATAACCCAAACCTAATCTGCTAAAAATTTATGCCATTAACAACCACAAATAAATCTCAACACCAGAATAGAAATATTAACTAACCTCCAATACCCCTTACACCTATAACTACTTACTCTTTCAAATTAGTATGAAAAAAAATCCACACCAAACAATCTTACTTAAAAACCAAAAATATCAACTCTAAAAAAAGTTAAACCTTAAACACCCAAAAGACAGAGATGGATCACAATATATAACTTTTTTGCCTATCTTAAAAAGAAAAGAATCTCACTAAATTTACACACATTTAAAATATCCAATAAGCTGGTTGAGTAGTATTCTAGGCTATTAGGATCATCCAAGAATGAAAACAGTATAATCTAAGTGATACTGAAATAAACACATGAATATTCATACAGATACTTGTAATCTTTACCCTCTCGAGTATTAACATACTATAGAAATCTCAATCGTCAACAGTGACATTACAGTTTTAAACTGTAGCATACCAGTACAAAAATAAATTCTTCTTATAAGAAATAACCATTTTCATGTTTAATAAAATTCACGAAGAGCTCTGACAAATAAAACAAAACCTATCTTTAAGATCAAATGCATTACCCATAAGAAATGAAACGTCTTGATAGATTATAAAAATTAACAACACAGTTGTTTTGCTTAGCATGCTCAGGGATCTAAATACATCATATTACAGAATCATGTGTCATAAAGAGTTAAAATATATGAGTTTAAAAGACTTTAATATTTTCTATATAAACTCAAAGCATTAATCATTAGAAGTATTTGTCGCAACAAGCTGTCCGTGTACTCGAGTTTATCAGGGAAAGAACACATAACGTGGACCACGAAACAGACGAGCTCGCTTGCGGAGGAGAACAATTCCGATGATAAGAGTCGCAGCAACAAGACCAATGCTTATCCCAACGAGGACGTTACGTGTGGTGTGAGATTCGGGTTCTGGTTTTGCGTCGCTGATGACTGGCTCTGGTTCTCCGGGTTCCGAATTGTCGGGAAAAATCTCGGAGATACTTGCAGGATACGAAGTTGGCGATGTCACGTTATAATCTTGGCTAAAGTCCGGAGTGGTGGCGTACTCCTGCATGCTGACGCAAGCATTATAAGCACCAAGATCGACATTAGCCACAGAGCACAGATGGAAATGTCGACATGTCGAATTACAAGGAAACATTACTTTCTGTACGGTTGAGAACTGGAAGTACCGCTGAAATGTTTCCACAGAATTAACTAGCTTATCGTGCAGCCGGGCCAGTGAGGAAGTGCTGACGTCGGACAGGTTATAGGCTTCAGTGAAGGTGTACAGTAGTTCCCATGACAACATATCTTGTGGTGTGTCCAACTTGCCACTAGGGGAATCATGAGGTTGTTCCACCTACAGAATAGGACAATTAAATCAATAAATTTGTTCCCAGGAGAACTGACGAGTATTGGCTTTCTTAACTGGGAACCATCAAAAGCCTTAAAATTTACAGCTGTGTTGATTGTTTGCAAATAACAAGGTAAAGACAAAAATGGTGTGAAAATAGACAAGAATGTACAAAATCTGAATGTGTGTGTGAAGTGTCAGCTTACAACACTCACAGTTTCATTATGGATAACTTACATGAATAGATTCAGATCTAATTATTGTATAGTCGGCATACAGACGAATAAACGATGAAGGTAGTAATTAACCAGATACAGAAAGACGTATCAACGTTGTTACCAACATAT